TGATAAGAGTTGCATTAGCCCCTAATAAAATGACTTTTAAAAAAAAGACTCTTAGTCTCAGAGATTCGTAATATATCTGAACACATCAATTACAAATGTCTACAATAAGAAAAAAGTTCAAAAATATTTTCAAAATGATGTCTGCATGTGAGAATTGCAGTTGGATTCCTTCTTATATATATTGCTTTAATATTTAAGAGATAAGAAGAAAGGTAAAGATGGGGAAAACACAAAGGTTAAGAAAAGGAGATAAAGGAAAGGGCAGGCCAGGACAGCGCACAATAATAAGTAAGAAACTCTCCACTCTCCATAATTGGCCTCAGCAAAATTTAAAAGTACCTAGAGAAAGTGATGTTGAAAGATACCTAAGGAGAAGCCAGCTCAGAGATGATCAAGGCCTTTCAGTAATGAGGCGAATTAACTGAAGCAGAAGATTTTGTGGAAAGAAGGTTCCCTCAAGTCTTTAAAAACAGGTTGAATACAGAACTTGCAAATCCAAGACTTCTGGGAAGATGGCGATGAAGTAACACATAATACCAGAGAGACTCCGCAGAATTCAGTCCAGGAGAGTTACTTAGAAGGAAATTCAACACTGCTGGACCGCAGGAGGAGCATGATAAGGGTAAGCAGGCACAGACACACAAGGTTTTGAGGGGTTTTGGCTTACCACAGTGAAGGCCAGCTAGAGCTTGACCTTAGCCCCCAATACCAGAGGCTGGGCCATTTAGAGGCCGCACAGGGGCTTAATATCAACGCAGCCAGTTTGCCGCCTCCTGCCATGGACTAAACCCTTGCAGCTCCATGGGCAGGGATGGGGCTCAGCTACATTGTTACTTTTGTTTCCCTCTCTCCTCCCTAAGCCCCCACAGTCTCAGAGGGCTGCTCAGCGGATTTTTCTCAACACACCCACACCTTGCCGCCACCTCAGGGCATGGACTAAACCCTTGCAGCTCCATGGGCAGGGATTGGGGATCAGCTTGCCGCAGCCTTCTCTATAACCCCCCATGGTCTCAGAGGGCTTACTTTTTAATTTTTTTTCTCCTCTTTGTCTCTTTCCTGTTCTCTCACACTCCACTGCTGACCTCCAGACCAGTTCCCTTAGCCTAGGGCATGTACACCTGTGACACACCTGGGTAGGTGAGCTCCACCCTGGCAGCTATCCTGAGACTGAGGAAAGCCCTGGAGCTCCACCCTGTGCAGCTATCCCGAGGCTGGGGAAAGCCCTGCTGACCTCCACCAGGGGATAATCCGCCCAACTTCTTACCAGGGAATACCTGCCTGTGTCGCAACACCAAAGCAGGCAACCGACCAGCCTTCTGAGGAACTCCCCTGAGAGGGAAACCACAGAAGGATAAAGTCTAGGTTAATTCCATACTGAAATTAGCTGTAG